ACAGCACGATTTTCCTGCTTTTCCATTTTTACGAAAACCACAGAGGCGTCTTGTTCAGCGTGCTGTCAAACCTACACTAGCAAGGAGATCGGGCTGAAACTATAGCTACAAGCTATCCAAGGATGGTACTATAGAATGTCACCTCAAGGTAGGCCTAGTGGCGTCATCTCTTAGTTAGGCCGGAAACTTATCAATCCACCCTCGTATTGTATAAGTAATTTATTTTACACAAAATTGAACAACAGTCCGTTATTTATATCACTGCTTATTTCTTTCGTTCGAGCTCTATTTATATCAGCTGTCGTTTATCGATTATCTCCCGTCAGATAATTGTTACTTACCTATACCGTATCGATAATTCCGGAAACTTCCAGTAAGTTTCTGCTGTCGCAATAGCTTTGTGTGTGTCGTAACCCTAGAAAACTACATCAAAGTTGCCGCTGGTATCGATCGCCGCTTGTGGCATTCGCTTATAACACTACATTTTTTTCTAGCATAGTTTTACACAAATGTATTTTCTATCAAAAACACAAGGGTGTAACTCTCTAATTCTACATATATTAGACTTCTGCTCACTGAAACTGTATATAAAGTCAAAATTCTCTATTTTATTAATTATAAATGTCCAAATTAGAAGCACCGTGGGTAAAGGTCTAGATGATAGCCCCCCCTTCGAGGGTGGGGTCCTCACTACTGTACCATAAAAAGTTCGTGGCGGTCTCACCCCCATAAAAAGTTATGGGGGTTCAAAGTTAATAAATATGCCAATTTTTATACATTTCTAGGCATGTAAATATTTATATAGTCATTCTTAAACAATATTCAAAAGTAAAACTAATGAAAAATACATAAAAATATTGAGAAAGTTATATAAAACATTATTAAATAGCTTTATCAATAGGGTATCGGGTTTTGTTCAAGTAACCACCTTCTTTCGATCCCCCACCTCCACCCACTTGAAAATAATTTTTTTATTGAATTTTATTTGAATTATGGTGTATGAAAATTGTCAAAATAATCAACTTTTTATGGGGGTGAAACCGCTGCAAATTTTTTATGGGGTTTTACTCAGGTGACCAACCTCTTTCGATCCCCCCCTACACCCACCCCCATCTAACCCCCATAACTATTTATGGGGATGAGACCGCCACGAACTGTTTATGGTACAGTGGTGGGGGAAACCTCCTCTTTCGTTCCCCCGAAGGGGGTGGCGGTCATCATCTAGACATTTACCGCACCGTGGGTATTTTGTCAAGACAGAATGTAATTAAGCTAGAGCAAAAATGAGAAAAATAATCCTGATTCTATCCAACACCTAACACAAGAACGTTATTGCACAATATTTTCCATTAATTAGATTGAACATGATTAGTTAATTAGCGTAATTATCGTTTCATTTATAATCGTTGATGCATGAAGAATAGACGTCCAATAAATCGCAACTTTAAAAGGATAATCTGTTAATGTTTGTTATCTGTAATGTAGCGCGGCATTAAAACAACCAAAATTTCAATTAGCAAACGGAATTATGTGCGGGTGCGTGCAAACATGTATGTGTTTCATTTGGCAATATTTCTTCACAAAAACATAAATATTCGCCGTTGGATTAACAATGCCATTTGCCCCACGAATATGTTGACATTTATATTACAATCAGGTGATTTGTTATGCAAACCAGCATCTGTTGTGCTGTAACCAAATATAACGGTTATTTTACAATTAAATATGTGGTAGATAGTAGACCGTTACTAATGAAATTTTGATGCTAACTGTATGACAATAAAGAACACTACTCATAGAAATTTTAAAATTAATTAAATAAGTCACAAGCAAAAGATTATTGATGTGTTGAAAAATGTTGCCCTCCTCGAACAAAGATATTTTATATTAAGTAAAAATTTTACCTTTCCAATATTTACATTACGATTCAGAACAATAAAAATACTGTCTATTTTTAATAACCACTACAAATATATGTTCTTTTAAACATGTTTTGATAACTCCCACGCTTTGTCTATGGACACAATTCATTTATTACCAAAAAAAAATGAGATTAACTTCAAAGATACTGTTCGAGTCCTATTCATCAATTCGTTTCACTCAAGATTCAGATCGTGTAATTCGAAAGAGAGATTGATATAATTTCAACAAGGCTAAACCATACGGTGCAGCACAAAATCCGGCTCGAAGGACCATATGTTTTAGCCTTGTAAGGGCACGAAAAAGTGAAGTATGGTGAGCATACCGTGGATAGAGAAGGTTAGAGGTATTAGAAAAAATAGGAGAATACAATAGTATATGGAAGTCAATAAGAAATAGGCGAGATAGATTGATAGGACACCTTCTCAGGCATGAAAGTCCAATCAGAGAAATATTAGAGGCAGAAACGGAAGTTAGGAGGGGTAGAAGTAGACCTAGATTAAATTACTGTTCGCAAATAGTTAAGAATGTGGGATACGCAGGATAGGAAAAAGTAGAGGTGCATGTCCAACCAGTCTTAGGACTGACGACCTTATCATGATGATACATTTACTTCTAGCTTTGATCACAAGCAACTAATGATTCAAAATCAAAATTGAACTAAAACATTTTTTTCCAAACAGTATGCTCCCTTTCTGTGATATTTGTATTGCTTAGTTTCAACAAATATATGTAACTACATCCTTAATCTAAATAGATTACACAGCGTGTTAGCGTATAGATGATTTACACTTTAATTTAAAATGTAAATAGTGCTTGTTACAGCATCACGTACTAGAATCTCTAGCAGCGGCCAACTACATATCTCCTTTTACTCCTTTATTTTATTGTAGCACATCTGAGCTTGCAATCCCAAATGAAACTTGTTGATACTATGCAATTGTAAGGTAAAAAATTATCCGGAGACCACTCAGAACTTCCGTTCTCCTAAAATGTTTTCAAATCAAACTAGTAGCGAATTTGGTTTGATGCTTTTAATAAGGTTTCTTACATACTAACTAACAAGTTTAAATTTACTTAAAACTAGAGAAAAACTAGCAAAGGGGGTGGAGTCTAATTCAAACATTGGATAAATGTTGGAATTTGCTGAATATCGTAATAGACGAGAGAGTGTCGAGTGCAACCTGATAAAAAAAATGAAAAAATTTTTGCGAATAAGTAAGAAAGAGTTAACAATCAGCCATTTATTTATACCACCATGAACTATTTGAATTCCTCATGTACATTTTGTCTGTGTAGCAATGAGAATATTCACAAAACGTCATCAAACCAAACACTGGAAAAAAGGAATTTAAGGCCTAAACAGTCTAAGAAATGTTATAAAGTTGAACTGAACAAAGCAACAAAGAAATCTGAAACGTAATGAAAGTAAACAATTACACTATGTCTAACTAAACGGAAATGTTTTTGAATTAACGTAATTGTAAAAATACCGATATAGTTAATAGCACTGAACAGATACTAATGAATAATTTTAATTAATTTTAAACTATTTTTAAGTGTATGACAACGACATTATAGGTATATGGAAAACTCAAAAGAATATGCCGTGATGTGAACTTAAGAAACCATTTATATCACAAACTACCCTACATTGCAGACATTACTTGGGCATTACAATTAATTACCATCTTTTGTACAAAATTAACTTTCAAGCTTTATGTAACGTAGGGCCTCAAATGAGGGATTTCTTCGCAGATTCCTCATGAAGACCCTCCCAAAACATTCAACAATACTGAAGTTAGGTAGGGGAGACCGGGGATAGTTGACTATAGGGGTAGGTAGACTAACTACCGAAAACTCTTCGACAGTGTATGAACTATGTCATCTGATCTTAACCAAGCATTACATTTCGCGTCCTGCTCAGTTGTCTGAAGCGTCACATCGCGGTCGTGGGTTGTTTTCGAACACTGACATGTTT